GCTGTTAAGGGATTGTCTCCAGTAATCATCACAGTACTAATGCCCATGCTACGCAGTTCAGCAAATCGCTCTTTAATGCCTGTTTTTACAATGTCTTTTAGCTCAACCACACCCAGTACTTTTTTACCATCGGCAATGACCAGTGGCGTACTACCACGGCGAGCGACTTCTTCGACTTGGTGTTTAATGTTGTCTGACATGATGCCGCCTGCCTGTTCAACCCAGCGGGCAATGGCATCAAAGGCACCCTTACGGATTTGTCTGCCGCCAATATCGGTACCACTCATCCGAGTTTGGGCAGTAAATTCAATCGCTTCGTAAGGCCGAGTTTTAAAATTAGCATCAGTCAAATTAAACTGCTGTTCCGCCAGTTTAACAATACTGCGTCCTTCTGGGGTTTCATCGGCCATTGAAGCAAGCATCGCTGTTTCTGCCAATTCACTGGCAGTAATACCTTGTGTTGCCACAAACTGCGACGCTTGGCGATTCCCGTAAGTAATGGTGCCTGTTTTATCGAGCATTAACACATCGACATCGCCTGCGGCTTCGACCGCACGCCCTGAGGTGGCAATCACATTGGCTTGCATCATACGGCTCATCCCAGCGACGCCAATGGCTGGTAAAAGCCAATCGTGGTCGGGATTAAACAAACCAGCAATGCCACCAAAATCACCAGCGACGTTGGAATACCTTGACCTGACGCTTTGACGGCAAATTGTGAAAAAGGCAGTAACGTGACGCACACCATTAAAAAGATAAACGTTAACGCCACCAATAAAATGGTTAACGCAATCTCATTGGGCGTTTTACTGCGTTTTGCCCCTTCGACGAGTGAAATCATACGGTCTAAAAAGCCTTGTCCAGCCACTTGGGTAATACGAATGATGAGCCATGAGCCAGTCTGACAATACCCGAGTCCCACCCGTCACCGCATTAAAGTCGCCACCGCTTTCGCGAATCACAGGGGCTGACTCTCCCGTAATCGCTGACTCATCCACCGAGGCTAAGCCTTCAATCACCTCACCATCGGCAGGAATCACTTCACCGGCTTCCACCAATACGATATCGTCCTTATCCAATTCTGTGGCAAGCACGGTCATGGTGGCAGTACGGTCTTCGATATTAAGGAGTTTACGGGCTTTGACGTCTTGACGAGCCTGTTTAAGGCTAGCGGCTTGCGCTTTGCTACGTCCTTCTGCCAAGGCTTCGGCAAAATTGGCAAACAAAATCGTAAACCATAGCCAAAGGGTTACGCTCAAATCAAAGCCAAACTCTGAGCGATGTTCGGGGAAAATTAAGGCTTGAATCGTTAGTAACGTGGTTAAAATACTGCCCACATACACCACAAACATCACCGGATTACGCCACTGTACTTTAGGGTTTAGTTTAGCAAACGTTTCTTTTAACGCAGGTTTGACCAATTCAGGGGCAAACATGCTTTGTGGTGTTTTTTTATGATGAGGTTCATTCGGCTGATGGTTTGTATTTATGGGCTGATTAGGACTAATAGTTTGTGTCATGATAAATTCCTTTAATTTGAGTCTGCGACGGCTACTGGTGCATCCAGATTTGCTCAATAATTGGGCCGAGTGCTAACGCTGGGATAAAAGTCAAAGCCCCAACCAATAACACCGTGCCGATAAGTAGCCCAACAAATAGTGGTGTAGTGGTTGGTAGCGTACCGTTATTGACAGGTAATCGTGGTTTTTTCGCCAGTGAACCTGCCAATGCCAGTACGGGTAAAATAACCCCAAACCGACCTACCAGCATGGCAATCCCCAACATCACATTATAAAAAGGAGTATTGGCACCCAGTCCTGCAAAGGCAGAACCATTGTTGTTTGCCGCCGAACTAAACGCATATAAAATCTCACTAAAGCCATGAGCAGATGGGTTAAATACCCCGGCTTGACCTGTCTCCGTCATCACACTAATCGCTGTACCGATGAGTACTGTCAACGGTGCAGCAAGCAGTCCTAATACCACCATTTTCATCTCATACGGTTCGATTTTTTTGCCCAAATATTCAGGGGTACGACCAATCATCAGTCCTGACACAAACACCGCCAAGATTGCGAACAACAACATGCCATAGAGACCGGCACCGACACCGCCAAATACCACTTCACCTAGCTGCATTTGGAGCATGGGAGCCAGACCGCCCATGGGGGTAAATGAGTCATGCATGGCATTGACGGCACCACACGACGCCGCCGTGGTAATAGTCGCAAACAGGGAAGACGCGACGATGCCAAAACGGGTTTCTTTACCTTCCATATTGCCGCTCATATCAGGCGACACCAGACCACTCACTTGGTTAGCCAACCAAGGGTTGCCTGCCAGTTCACTGCTGACAGTGAGCCAATACATGCCTAAAAACAACAGCGTCATCGCCGACAAAATCACAATACCTTGACGCAGATTGCCACTGATTTTTCCTAAGCAGAAACATAACGCTGTTGGAATTAAGAAAATGGCGAGCATCTCAATAAAGTTAGAAAGTGCAGTAGGATTTTCAAACGGATGTGCTGAGTTGGCATTAAAAAAACCGCCACCATTCGTGCCTAACATTTTAATCGCTTCTTGCGAGGCAACAGGTCCTAGGGCAATATTTTGGACTGCCCCTTGTAATGTGCTGACACTGACAGTTGATGATAAGGTTTGAATCACCCCTTGGCTTACTAATAACAACGTAATAACGATGGCAATGGGCAACAAAATATACAGATTGCTTCGCCACAAATCGACCCACGCATTGCCAATACCTTGGGCGTTTTTACGGGTTAACCCACGTATTAACGCGAACGCCACCGCAATCCCGGTTGCTCCTGATAAAAAGTTTTGCAATGACATACCTAGCATTTGGGTCAGGTAGCTCATGGTAGATTCACCACCATAGCTTTGCCAGTTGGTATTGGTCATAAAGCTGACAGCAGTGTTAAACGCTGAATGCCAAGTGGGTGCGGAAAATTTTTCTGGATTGAGCGGTAAAATGCCTTGTAGCAATTGCAACCCGAATAATGCCACTAAACCAATGATATTAAATAGCAAAATTGCTATGGCGTACTGTTTCCAGTTCATCTCACCACTGAGTTTGCCGTGATTGTCCACGCCTAACATCCCAAAAAGGGAAAACCAGCGTTGTTCATTGGCAGATAAAGGGGCTTGCATCCGCTTCACCATAAATCCTGCTAACGGATAGGCAAGCATAAATAATACCCCAAGGTATAAAAGGACTTGAATGAAGGCAGAGGAAGTCATTAAAACTCCTCCGTTTTGATAAGGACGTACACCAGATAGATAAATAACCCGAGTGCCATCAACCCTGCTAACGCTTGCATAGCCAACTCCTTGATAAATTAAGCATAAAATTTGTGAATGCTTATTATTACCAGTAAATTTGCCGTTAATTGTTAAAGTGCAGATATAAAGAAAGTGTAAAGATAGGGTTTTTAGTTTGCAGATTAGTCTTTACAATTTAATAAGCTTTACCTTGTAAATTTTAAGTCAACTCAACACTTGTTATTATTGAAAATAAAAGACCGACCTTTTAATGCGGTCTTTTGCATTCTGATATTTGGGGTCAGCACAGAATTCGAACCATATTGTACGCTAAAGAATTCAATGTTGATTTCTAGTACATTGTTTAATCCAAAAATTGGTCACTTAAACATTGGCTCACCATCAATGGTAGTAGATAGCTTTCCTTGCTGCCAATGGAGTCGTGGTGTATCTTCACTATGCAACTTTGAAGTTTGTCCCGAATGCTCAATGACAATGCCTTGTTGATCGATCACTGCAGTACCAATGACATACGTGTAAACATAGCTACTCTTGGCTTTGGCAGAGACACTAGGATTAAAGACACACTCTACAATTTGGTCGCCATACTGCATACGCATTTTCGGCTGTAGCGAAGCAATTGATACCGCACCATTGCTAATGGCAGAGTATACAGAGAATACGATTCCAACCCGACCACCTATTAATTTTGCAATGTCACTATTAATTTCGACTCTTTCAACACCAGGCTCGCTAGTGCTAGCGCCAGTAACATCACCCAAGTGTCTGATAAAAGGAAATTTTTCCAAAGCGCCCATTTGCTTTTTTGCATGTATATAATGCATTTTTTTCTCACCTTCAATCAAAATGCCTACCCTTAAATCTAAGTCATCGTTATCACTACAGCTATCACCATTATCCACCCAAATTGCTTCGACAATAAATGATGACTGCTGCTTTGTTAGATTCACTCTATGT